CAACATGCCGCAGAATAAAGGCGTAAGTCTGGAACACGAAAGAGAAAAGGAGCCGCCAATACAACACCAACCGAAGGAATAGCTGTTGTTGCAAGTCGTGTTGTTCAATCACAGCCACATCAACAACCAGTCGAGCCACGAATAATGCGTGCTTCCAGACTGGTGTAATATCGACAAGCGCTGGCTTTCATCGTGAAGTAACATTGGCAAGTCCGCGTACCTTTCGGCCTTCAATGAATAATGGCGCCGTTAATTAAGCTTTTCCTTCCAGCCTACAATCATCGTCAAACTCAAGCATTTCAGCCTACGATTTCTTCTTCAAGAACATTACGATTTAATATTTGTTAAATTGGGACTTAATTTCCAGCAAAATAACTAAAGATTGAAAATACGTTTACCTGTTTGTTTTAATATAACTCAAAAACTATACAAGATATTGAGCTGAAATAAACTACATTGCATGCAGGAAGGGCTAACTTAGATTTTGACTTAGATTTTGACATATTTTTCTCTATATAGGCGTACATATAGAGAAAGATATAATCGATAATAAATTCGCTCGAAGATCACGTCCATGTTTTACAAGTCCATGTTTTACAAGTCCATGTTTTACAAGTCCATATTTACAAGTCCATGTTTTACTAGCCTGCGAACAGGCTCTTGAGAGCCTGTTCGCGGGCCAATGTTTTACAAGTCCATGTTTTACAAGTCCATGTTTTACAAGTCCATGTTTTGCAAGTCCATGTTTTACAAGTCTTTTTTTTACAAGTCCATGTTTTACAAGTCCATGTTTTACAAGTCAATGTTTTACAAGTCCATGTTTTACAAGTCCATGTTTTTCAAGTCCATACGTTTTACAAGTCCATGTTTTACAAGTCCATGTTTTACAAGTCCATGTTTTACAATTCCATGTTTTACAAGTCCATGTTTTACAAGTCCATGTTTTACAAGTCCATATTTACAAGTTCATGTTTTACTAGCCTGCGAACAGGGTCTCATGTTTTACAAGTCCATGTTTTACAAGCCAATGCTTTACAAGTCCATGTTTTACAAGTCCATGTTTTACTAGCCTGCGAACAGGGTCTCATGTTTTACAAGTCCATGTTTTACAAGCCAATGCTTTACAAGTCCATGTTTTACAAGTCCATGTTTTACCAGTCCATGTTTTACAAGTCCATGTTTTACAAGTCCATGTTTTACAAGTCCATGTTTTACAAGTCCATGTTTTACAAGTCCATGTTTTACAAGTCCATGTTTTACAAGTCCATGTTTTACAAGTCCAGTCCGGGTGTTTGTATTCCGAGTAATGAGTAATGAGTAACGAGTAATGAATTTTCCTACTTGCTTTGGAAAGATAAACCATGAAAACATTAACAGTGATTCCAGACACTCTTTGCCGTGAATAATTATAATGCTGTGACGATGTCAGAAGTTTAAACTGGCCATGGTATGATCAAATATGGCCATATAAATTTCGCTTATATAGCATAATCGTTTTTAGCATGTCACATATTAACCAGTTCAGCCTTCAAAACAATCGTCTCAAAGTTGAACAACATGTTCGCAATAGTATACTGTAGAATACAAGCGCTGTCGTATAAAGGTTTGTTTTATGATAAATTCAGTTCGGTCGCCATATTTGTTTCGCTATCTGCGATCATGCAGCCAGTATAAAATCCGCAATTGACGTCCAAACGTTTTTAAGCTCGAAAACACTCTCATTTTGTTCTGCTAAATTCAGGTTTTTCCCAGGCGAAATGTCGATAACTAAGTTTTCAGTTTATAAAACCAAGATATTACTCTTTAAATCGATTTCTGTCGACCGCTATATTAGTGTTTACTTGTAATTCTACTATTGCGAACATGTTATTCAACTTAGAGACAAACGTTTTGAAGGCTGAACTGGTTAATATGTGACGTTCTAAAAACGAGTATGCTATAAGCGAAATTATGGCCATATTTGATCATTTGACCATGCAGTTTAAACTGACACTATTACAGCATTATAACTATTCACGGCAAGGAGTGAGTGGAATCACTGTGATGTTTTCATGGTTTATCTTTCCAAAGCAAGTACGAAAATTCATTACTCATTACTCATTACTCATTACTCACTGACTGATTACTCGGAATACAAACACCCGTCCAGTCCATAGTTTACAAGTTTACAAGTAACCTAGGAACTAAAGGAAATTTGCTTTGAACTTTAAGCTAATCGGCTTTCGAACCCGGTCCGGAGGGCTGATGGTGCTTTGCGAATTGTCTCGGTTTGTATACCGATAGTTTAAAAAATGCATAGGAAACAGCTGACGCCAGCAGACGTGATCGTGACCTCCTTGAAATAGAACTAATTAATAAAACAGATATACTGTATAGTCAAATATTTTTAATGCGTCTTCAATCTATTAATGACGATAGGATTTTAAAAGCTTATGATGAGGCAGTATCAAAAACAAAGAAAGTCTTTCTCTTGATCGAAAAGGTGAGATGATTTTACGCGTTTGCGAATATATCGAGTCCGGTGTATCTCGGCCTTAGGCGTCAATTTGTGGCCGCAATTTCCGATTGTGAACCAACGGCTCCCAAGCCTGCATGGGACGTCACGGACACCCGGAAGGGAGGGGCAAAGGATGGGAAACCTAGTTATTTCTTCCTCAGAGGTATCCGTCTTTGCCATGCATGCATGCCAATATTATTACTCAGCACTGAACTGGCTTTATTCCGGAGACTGCACCGCGATATTTGAAAATATATTGTCACTTTTATAATAAGCATACAAAGTTAGCACTATTTCTCATATTTCTGACTATCTAACAAGTGATCTGAAGATTGTAGCTTGAATCAAATAAAACGTTGGTGATATTTGTAATTTTGAATTATTGCCACATTGGACCAATATAGGCCCTACCGAATTCATTACGAAATTAAATGGCGTAATATATATTGTGAAATAACCCATGTATATTTTAATAATGGTTAAAAATAATATTTGATTATGCACTCACAGCGGGGTTGATATAAGGAATTTCACCGTTGTCTCCATTTTGAACTGATCACGAACTCATTTAATTGTAATAATAACTTATATGGCTGTACGGGGAGATCAAACCGAGGTCTTGCTGTTTTCTTTATAGCCTGAACGGTCGAGGTTGCATTGAAAGTTGTATGTTTGTAATATTTACCCTCAGCTATGCCCGTGGTCACGCAAGGGCAAAGTACAAAGTCTGAAACAATGTCATATAAAAATTCAATATACATAATTAGTTCAGTTGTATAAATTTATCTCTTGTTTAGTAAAACGATTCTACCTTGCCGCCCACCTTTCATTGAATATTAAGAGAGTTTATTTTGGATAACATTTGAAGAAAATGTCGTGCCCTCTGTGGTCGGGACTGCACAGAGAAGTTAATTAATAACTGTATTGTTCATTTTTTGTAATAACTAAAAAAACGGTGAAAATTCCGATAGAAATCTGTGGCTGCTTTGATTTTTTTATTTTAGACAGTGTCTTTTAATTCCTCCTAGTCAAATTTTTTAAATAAAATTGCTGGCGACTTAATCTTCGTTTTGATTAATTTGAAAGATTTCAAATATTATTTTTTGGTGTAAATTCGATTCTCTTGAGAATTTTAATTAATGTTGACGCCAGCAGACGTGGCCTATTTTAAATTCGTGATATCACGAATACAACGAATGTTGTAATTGCGTCTTCAATCTATTAAGATTTAAGTATGATAGACCTTTTAATGACGCAGTGTGCTTTTAAAAACAAAGAGTCTCTTTCTTCGTTGAGAAGATGGGACGGAATACTGATTAAATGGCTGTGGCTGTTTTAATTGAATTTTATATTTTAGACGGTGTTTGAGTTTAAATTTCCCCTGGCAATTTGCAAATAAAATATTAAACCTCTTTTGAGAAATTGTCAGTGTAGGGGCCATCAAAAATGGGACCCAACTGTGGGAGGTACCTCGAGGTGTTCTCAATTTTCCCGTTCGCCGTCAAAAAATGTATTTTTAAGTGTCTCGGCCTGGATTTTCGGCATTCAGTGTTTATATATTTCTTAAAAACTCATTAGTAATTCAGGAGCAAAACACAAAGAAAACTCATAAGCGTGTCGTGGTTTTATATGTGATAAAAAATCATGTTAATTTACATAAATTTTGGCTTTAATTTTCTCGGTTTGACAAAGTTTATTTTAAAAATTGCCTCGCCAATGAACTCGTATAAGATGAGTCGTTTTTTAAGCCATTTAAAGCACTTGTAGTCGTGTTTTATCACATATCAGTAAAACACCCCGCTACGCGTCGTGTTTTATATGTGATAAAACACTCCTACGCGCGCTTTAAATAGTACATCCACTACCCGCTAGACAAAGATTTTGTCATGGGAATACTAAAACACTCTTAACTAAAACACTCTTAACTAGTTATTCTTCCCTTTTCTCGGCTTATATTTTAGGGGGGGGGGACAACATACAGTAGTTCACTGTAGGGGCTAAAACAGGGTCTGTGGGGCTGAAGTCCCTCTGAAGTCCCCCTCCTGTTGTATTAATAGCCTGCAGCAACTTTATAGGGCAATAATTATATTAATATTCGTATTGCCTGTGGGCAGTAGGAGAAAATCCTGGCTCAGCAGCCAATCAATTGCGCAATTCACCAAAACAAATGATTGCATGCCATACAGTAAAAACCCGCATAAAAGAACCAATGGGTTCGAACCAGCAGTCTGAATTTAGGCAATTATAAGCACACAAAATACAGACAAGAACCACTTCAGGTTCACATATATGATAAGCGCAAATTTTGAGCAAACCTCTGAGCCGAAAGATAAGAGCAAAGTCCAGCCGGGGAAGGTGCATTTTCTGTAATTTTGCCGAAGACATATATTAAATAGTTATACCGGTCATTCAATGCATTTGTCTTAATAAATATATACAAATAACTTTTTACAATAAACTTCAAGCAATCCTAAAACTTAACAAGAATTAATAAGTAGCAATTACCCTTTCCGCTTGATACGTAAAAGTGTTTTATCGATCTGGACCTTGGACCAATGGAAGGTGCTATACGCGTTCTCACTTTGCGTCAAGAAAACAAAACTATAAACCCACAGCACATGTCCATCAATGAAAAAGACAGCAGCTATCTTATAGGGACTGAAATGGAATATCAACACTTTATGGCGTCTGCTAGCTTAACATGCTTTAAAGAGGTCGTCAAACACATGCGCATGGTATATTCGTTCACATAATTTTGTTTTATATAATATATAATCTCATTAATATCACTGTATGGGCCTACCAGAATATGGAATCTTGTATTTAAAGAGCAATTTAACTTGCAAGGAACGGATAAAAGTTTGTCTTTTCTTGTAGCAATAGATTTTACTGTTTATTACATTTTGTCCCAATGGCCTCGTTTCCATGTTCACCTATTTGTTACACATGAAGGTTATGTTCTCATGTTCCGTAGACAAATATCTTTCTCTTCTCCAATCACAAGTCTATCCTTAACTATATATTATGAACTAAACATTAAGGAAAAACCACTTGAAAACGAGGCCATAGGTCAACCAACCCTGTTATTGGAGAACTAATCTCTGTGCGCGGTAATTCCAGCCATGTAATCTATTGTCTAACTAATTTTATGTAATAGTTTGTGTTAAATGGAAAATCTGTAAAATAAAAATAAAAAAACGAGAGTTGAAGGGTTTTCAACTATTGCATTATTCAACTATATAGTATATTATTCAATCGAGTGAAATGCCAACAAGATGTTGATACATCAACGAGAGACTTGATTTGAATTTGAAAAAATAAATTTTGACTCTATTGTTTCGTCGTTTCATATATGTGCTGAATATCAAGATTTTGTTGTCCCTGCTAGGAATCGAACCTGCGATTCCGGTGCAGCGGGCAAAGGGGCCAATTTGCCCCAGGCCCCCAGTTAAAGGGGCCACCCAAATTTGCAAAAGGGAGGCCACAAAAGGTGTAATTTTAAAAAATGTGTTTTACCCGTGTTTTTACAGGTATTTGTCCGGAATTTTTTTTTTAACCTTAATTTAACTGGCCTCTGTAGCTCAGTTGGTTAGGACGCTGCACCGGAATTGCAGGCCCCACGTTCGATTCCTGACACGGACCTAAAGTTTAGGTTTAATAAATATATATAAATTTCCACTCGATAATTTCAACATGTGTGCTGAGACCGCGAGACTGAGTTTCCAAACGTATTTGATTCTCAAAGATAACTAGCTGTGTGCATGAGACCGTGAGACTGGGCCGTTTAAAGTGGCACTCGCGTCAAAATTTTTATTTTCTTATTTTCTTAAAATGCTCTTAAAACTGTATAGTAACTTGTTTTGAAGATTTTTGTTCCCATGCTTAATTCTTGAGATAATTAATTTTGTTTGTAACCGTGTCACGTCAATGACTCAATTACATATATAATGAGACATCTGTAATTGTTGTGTATCTTTGATGTTTTTGATGGATTTGTTTAAAAAAACAGCTTCCTCTATGATGTAGGTTAAATTAAGAAACGCGCCGCATCTTTGAAAAGATTTGATAAAAAATAGGAAAGATATACAACAATTATTGATATCTCATTATATATGTAATTGGGTCATTGACGTCACATAGTTACAAACAAGATCTAATATCTCAAGAACTAAGCATGGGAACAAAAATCTTCAAAGCAAGTTACTATACAGTTTTAAGAGCATTTTAAGAAAATATGAAAATAAAAATTCCGACCCGAGTGCCAATTTAATTGACCAAACGTGTTTGGTCAATAAAATAATTGACCAAACGTGTTTGATCAATTAAATAGCACGATTCCTTTGCAACAAATAAATATGCAATCAAAACTAGCACATCACTTATGTCTCATGGGCAAAACGAACTGGACTGCTATTTAAGTGTTCAACACGATTTCGTGTCTCATAATATTAAATATAATTTCCGGTAGATACACTGTACGACCTATCAACAGAATCCGGCTGAGTTTTCTTTCTAAAAACGTTCAAAAATAAGTTCTTAAATTCCTGTCTGATCTTTCTGTTCGTGACGTTGTAAACAATCACATTGAGAAAACTGTTCAGGTAACCCAAGACTAGCGAGCCAAAATCGACTTCGCGTGGAACATGGGCGCTAGAAAACACCTGCACCATCATAATGAGTGCAAATGGAGACCAACAGAATCCAAAGACAGCGATTAATGTAACGATCGTTCTTGTCAGACGTTTTTTACTTGGACGTCTATGTAATTGAGGAGCTGTAATACTTAACGTTGTAGCTGCCGATGACACGGTGGCTCTTACCACATCTCTGCCGCTCTCTTGATGAAAACGTATTATTTTCACATAACAGTAACTCATTATTGACAAAGGTCCCAGCAAACAAACTGAAATCATAAAAATCGTATACGATTCGCTCACCGTCCATTCAGCAAAACAATAACTTTGTCCAGGATCGTACGCGAACTTTGCCCAGCCAAAAAACGGCGGAATTGACAACGCAATAGTTATACCCCATGTAATGCATACATAAAGAACGCACTTCCGTTTTGTGTAGGTATTCTCGTAGGAGGTCCAATGGACTATCGCATGATAACGATTTATACTGATCATTGACAACGCCATACACGAGGCGACGAAAGTGAGCAAAGTTGTAAAGCCAGACATGAGACAAACTGTCCGTCCGAGTATCCAGTCTTCTGCAATCACTGTTACAATAGTTATAGGCAAGTTCACAACAGCAACCAATAAATCAGCAGCAGCTAGGTTCAATATAAATACATTCCCTTTCGTTTGAAGAGTTCGGATTTTCGCAACGATGTAAAATAACATTACATTGCCAGAAAGAGCCCCGATAAATACAAACACCAGGAAGATAGCTTCCACAATCGTCGAAGTTGAAGCCATGTAATAATTGTGCTTTTTTATAATTAAATCAACAGGAGGACAGTATAAATATGAATTACAACTCCAAACACGAGTATATTGTTCGAATTACTTAAAACAAATACTGTGAATAGATCAGAATAGAGCACTACTTGCCTCACAGTCCATTAGGTATATAACATATCATATTCAAATATCTTATAGATGTTGAGATGCGACTGGTGGTCGAATTGATACGATCTTCTGACAATAGTGCACCAACTAAGCCAAACAAACACCTTAGGCTCAGGTAACTTATTATTCCCGAACGATATACGTCATTGACTTCCCACTGACCGACAATTAATCCCCACTGAAGTATATAAACAACATTCAATTATTAGTCGACTTTAAACGTCGTCGAGTAGGTAAGGTCTGGTCTGGTCCAAAATACTCCAAATTTTTAACTAGACGCCGTTCTTGTCTATTGACACGAATACGTCACATGCCACTGTGATTTTATTGTATGAAATTTGAATCCAATTTACACAGTGTCAATTGTGAACTCATGCGGTAAATTTTTTATATAAATTGTGTAATCGCTGTATGCTAATCACTTGAATTTTTGGAGTCGAGGCGGGTGACGTATATGGGAAATGACTATCCTTATTAAAATGTGGTTTAGGATATCACGTATTAAATTACCTTTCCTGTTCAAGACACAATAATAATAGTGTATTTTACTATATTTATGGCCAATATAAAGCATCTTTTACATAGTATACAAACCTGAGCAAACACAGTTACACTAAAGAGTAAATAAAATAGGCTAAAGAGCAAACAAAAGGTGGAATTCATTCCGTGAGGTTGCATGAGACACGAAATGATTTAAATTACTGCAATTAAATCGAATCGGAAACGATTAAAATACAATTAACTGTACAACTCTATTTGTAATTTGTACAATCAGGAATAGTATTGACGAATTTCGTTGAAATGTCCTCTTGTGTAAACAGCTGTAGTTTGGAGTGTAATGTGCGCGATCCTGGCACCCCTGGACTTTACCCACCCACATTTCGTCAAAACGTTTTTCTTCAAGATTGGTTTAGAAACAAACTTATATAGTAGGGTTAGGATCAGGGTTAGAGTTGGTTTTTGGCGTAGGGTTAGTGTTAGTAAACCTCTTCCGAGTTGTACATTGTCAATTCCGATTCAACAGTGGGTGGGTATTGATGCACGTCATTCTGAGGTCAGCGAACTATTTGTTTCCGTACAACTCCACCTACAAAACACTTTTTTGTTTTTCAACTGCGTCATGAACACCTCTCGGTTGATGAACACCTCTTCATAGACTTGCCGACAAGGCAACTCGGATTATTTAACTTCGCCGTTGAGCTCAAATTTCCTAACAATATTTACACGAAGAAAATTAGAAAAGCTTGGCCAACCTATATGTCACATTCATTTCAGGTTTTGAGCATTGCAGATGGAAAAACTTACCGCAGGTTCGATTTCTCCCAGAGAACATATAGTTGAGTAATTTTGCCCCCTATATGATTATACGTGAAATTTGAATTTATTAAAAATTTACCTGAAGGCTGAGGTGTATTAATTATAATAGAGGTTTTTCAGATTGATCACCACTGTCATACTAAGTTGCCGAAGAAAAGGGGGTCTGGGGATACTCCCCAGAAAGTTTACATTTTTGAAGGTCCAGGACACCCCCTCTCGCCACATCCCTGGCTACAACATTTTGAGTTATTTGGTCTACATTTATATCTTAAAATTTCATTTCATTAGCTGTTTTATTTCAAATACCAGTGAAAAATCGCACAGGCACAGCGTTGTGAATAGCGTCCGGCGACCGGCGTGTCTCGGCTTTACTGAGTGTTCATTTGTAAGTGTTCCTTAAGCTGAAAAGCTACTTCTTTTAATTAAATTTGAAAGGGAGGGGGAATGAGTGGAGAATATTGACGGTGCGAACGGTTTTGTGGCGGCTCTCCTTTGTGAATCCATCATGCAGCGAAATTAACCATGGACATGCTACAAGTCGGGTGGACTCGTAGCATGTCCATGGTTAATTTAATTTCGCAATGCGGGTCGCATTGTAACGAGTAAAGCGAGTGACCGTATGCAATAGACAATTCCCATTATAGACTAATTTTAAAATTAAACTTGGCAAGGAGACTCAAATAAATCACCACAGCTAGAAAGAGCATACTAAAATTAGTAAAATTGCAAAATTTGGTTGCGAAATGTTGTAAAATGTGGAAAATATAGCCTTGTAAAGTTCGCAAATTTTGTATACTTTTGTATTGCGTGCGGAAATTCATACCACATTCCTACCACATTTAGGGCCTGTTCATATGATCCCGCTTACCGGGACGTCTCGCTTACCGAGACGAATATTTCCGTGCGTTCATATGGAGTATTTCGTCCCGCTTGCCGAGATGAAATTACATTGTAGTTCTATAATTAGCGTATGCAAAACTTCTACATTTCAGTCAAGCAATACAAATACTTAGCGATTTTAGTGTTTTTCTTCGTTTATTTACAAGAAAAAGTATTGCTTCAGGTGCATATTTAATACTTGTTTACAAAACAAACATAAAACCAAGTAAAAAGTGTTAAATTAAACCGGCAAGACTGTTTGACTTCATCCCGGTAAGCGGGCTGGCGTGTTCATATGAAAAAATTTTCATCCCGCCTACCTATGATCTCGGCAAATTCAAACGAGATCTCGGCAAGCGGGCCAGCTCGCTTTCTCATATGAACACATTTTATAGGAAAATAGATAGGCGGCGAGATCATCGGTAAGCGAGACGTCCCGGTAAGCGGGATCATATGAACAGGCCCTTAGGCCGAAATGTCGCACGCAATACAAAAGTATACAAAATTTGCGAATTTTGCAAGGCTATATTTCACGCATTTTATAACATTTCGCAACCAAACTTTGCAATTTTACTCATATTAGTATGCTCTTTCTAGCTGTGGTAATTTATTTGCATCTCCTTGCCTAGTTTTAAAATTAGTCTATAATGGGAATTGTCTATTCGATCGTATACCAAAATCCAGTATACCAAAATAAATCCCGTACTGATACTCATGAGCACGCTCGTATATTTCTATTATTTCAATTAAGGTTCACGAGCAACGTCGAGCAAAACAGAAAAGTCGAACACGAGCGCGAAAAATGCTAGCCTGCGAAAACAGCCTCTACTTTGCTGCTCCTATTAATATAACGTCGCACCTCTCTCCTCCGCAGAGGCTTTAGTTTTCTTAGGATTTAGTATTACGATGAGATACATTTCACTACACTTTACATGGCGGATCTTGAAACACGAGCGTAGCCGCTGGGCGAAGGAGCGCAGGCGGCAAAGGGAAAGACGAAGGAAGGCGCGAAGCCTCTGCACGATTTGCATCGCAAAGTGGGACAAAGTGGGACAAAGTGTAAACATCGAAACAAGGTGATTTTTAAGCTAAACAAGAAACGTCTTTTTGAAAATTAAATCATTATTTAATGCATGATTGATTGACCTCATTGACTAGTGCTTGCATGTTTGTGGATGGTCAAAAGTAATATTTTTTAACATTTAATACACAAAGCGAACAATCGTATATTTTACTCACCGCTTGGCCAAACATTCTATATTTCGTATCGAGAAAAACTTGAATATTGCTTGAACTCTTCGGAATTCGCCACCAGTCAAAGAAGTAAAATACTCCTTGTATTCAAGCGCTTTCGTGTAGAAAATTTCTTTTGAATACGGCCAGTAGAAATATTTATTTTTAATTTTTCAAAATATCTGGTTTTTACTCGCACAGTCGCACGCGCCTGTCACACGCTGATGTTCGGGAATTAGTTCACAATCAGACCAGGAATGGAAATACCATAATAAAAGATGAAGTTTTCAAGATACAAGCTCAAAAATAACACTTTAAGTAGTGTTTTGAATTCGCTTTCGAACAAGAGTAATACAAAGAGGATGCGTCCCAAGGAGCCGAAGTTATGTTCGCCGAAAGGTATGCCTAGTTTATATTTTTATCAAGTGTAAACATTGCGTGATTTGATATTAATATACAAAATCCCGCTTGACTTTCAAAGGTCATAAATCGCTATAGTGTTGACATTTCACTAAAACTATCGATAGAAACTAGGAGATATTTTTGTACTGAATCGAACGGTGGTATTTTCATCTACATAGCGTATATTGAACCAAAGATACGAACCTCCAAATAAATCAGGTCGAAACCGACTGAAGGTCGCGTTTGTTTATAAATATTGCTGAAGTTGAAATAGTTGAATTGTATTTTCAGTCTTGATAATAAATTTAATAATAGTTCTGTATGCTATACATACTCATTTTTTTTCTTTTATGCGGTTTTGGACACATTTCTAAAAATACAAATGTCAAATATAAATTTAAATAAAAGTTTTCTCAGTCATTTTGAATTTGACTTGAATTTTGCGTTTGATAATTATACGCCCCCCGGTTTACCGCCATATTGGGTGTGGAATCGTGCAGAGGCTTCGCGCCTTCATAGCCAATTATAAAGCCTCTGCGGAGGAGAGAGACGTCGCACAAAGAAGAGTCTGCGATTCGAGTGACAACATTCCATACTGATGACGTTAGCGCGACCGGATTTTGGTCGCGCGTTATGATTGGTTTATTCTATAATTTGATATAAATTATGCCAACACATGCAAATCGATTTTGAAATTCAAGATGGCCGGATATGTAAAATGTATCCAAATAGAAGACATTTGTATATTATGTTTATATAATCCAGTACCTAGAAGTAGGTTTATCGTCAATGGAAAGGACTCGGTGTTAAACACTGCCTAGAAGCTATTCAACAACCTACCGAACAATTGCAAGTGTACACTAACGACTCGTTTTAGGAACATTGCCAGTGGGGATATAAATTTCTTGTGCAGGACCTGCCTAAAACTTCTTGAGAAAAGAGACAGAATTTTATCAAATTTAACAGAAGTTGAGAACAAGATCCAAGGACATTTTTCCACCAAGAGATCAAGTGAAACAGATCTTGCGTCTCCATGAAAGTTTATCGCACTCAGCGACGATGAGGAAGCGTGCATACCTATTCACACATTACAACCCAAAGCACACAAGTACTCCAGTCAAAGTTGTTCCACCTGTAAAAGTTTCGAAAATCAAAAAATCTTTTTCCGAATGCGAAACTGTGGCGTATTAAAAGGTATGTTCGTGCGGAATTCAGCACATTTTTACATTATATTTTTACCACAATAGTGACACATATAAATATGTGATTATGTATTTAATATTTATTTATAATATAAAGGTCGATCCTCCCTCAGAGAAATATACATTCATATATTTTTTTTTAAAACTTTATAGCTCACAGTGAAGTGACCTTCTCAGACCAAAGAACGTACAATTCAACCTGAACTGGAACCCTTAGGCTGTGCCCTCCTTAGAGGGGCATAGAAGGAAATTGCGTCAGCTGTATACTGTGTTAAAG